GTCGAATTGGTGAATGTCTAATAGGGATTCGTAGGTTAGTATAGGAAAAATAAATCTGTAACGAAGATCAGCTACTTGCCTGGTTTAAATTGCGGAATACTCGTCACCCCGTTGTTGAGGTCATATTTCGTCAGAACTTCTTTCAAACTGCGGTACGAGGAGAAAGGACGCTTCGGCAAGGTCTTGAGAGATTTGGCTTCTTTTGCAAGTTTCATAGCCGGTCCCATTTCCAATCCTGCCTGCATAAACTTTTCTTCGGTCATATCAAGAAAGACCTGACCATCGATTTCTTTATTGCGAAGAACATCGAAGTGTTTTTCTCCGAGCTTAAGGTCTTGCTCTTGCAGGTGAAGGATAAGGGTCTCGGTATCCCAGTTTTCGACTAAGTACGCATCGTGTTCGGTTTTGGAAACAGACATGGTAGGTATACTGCTTTATATACGAAAATTTGTGCTATGCGAGTATTGGTCACACAGATTACATAAACGGATCATCGCTTCCTATTTAGACAAAGATAACATTAGTTATTCGATAGGAGATCCTTGATATTTTTCTTCCTCCTGAGCTAACTCGTAATAAAGATTATATAATTTTTCAAGTCTTTCACGTAATTCTCCTGAATAGTGACCATGAATATACTCTATTCTTCTATTGTATGATGCCTCGTCTGGTATAAGTTGCTTTGCTTTATATCAAATATACTTTTCTGATTCTTTTGCTAACTGTAATCTAGTTACATAATTAAGATGATCTTTAACGAATTTGCTATCGGGTTTAAATTTTTGACAAATTGCTGAATTTAAGACTCTAGGCAATGCCTTTTTGATATCTTTTGCTGTAATAGAATTAATATTAATATTTTGTTCAGTCATAATAAATATATTTACTACATATAACCATGTTTTTTTCTAAATTGAAATTTATTATAATTAATTAATAATATTACAAGATATTTTATACTAATGCTACTTTATACTTGCCTATACCTCCACAATAATGGCTCTTTATGTAACAGACGTTGTCACAAAGCTGAAGGCTGTTGGGAGCATTATTTATCAAAATTTCGTAAACCCTGTCTTGTATGTGGTAAGCCTACTGCTGCTGATTGTGATCGATGTAAATTACATGCTGGTAGCTATTATACATTAAAACACTATTATAAAATTCGTTCTCTTTAGACTATATCTTAATGCTCCTATTTGGGTTGCCCTTTTTTTCTCTTGTGGTTCAATTATGAGAAGGCGGAACTCTAAACATTAGAAAACAATATGCTAACTAAATGCTCCACTTTGTTTCGCATTTGCGGGTGCTTTGCACCCTTATACAGCTAGCAATAATAGATTTTAAAGACTCTAGCTAAATAAAAAAGCAATATATTAACTAGATACATTTCAAAGCAAAAAAAAGGTCAAATACCTATGCAATATATTTTTTTGATTATTATCAAAATTAAGTTTTAGGAGACTCCAACTAGGCAAGAAAGCAATATAGAATTCTAAATATATTACAAAGCGAAAAAAGACCAGATAGCTATACAATAACTAAAAAAGATTACTATAGTAGAAGATGAGCTAGAGCCGGCTAGGCATAGTTAGATCCCTAACTGGAAAACTCCCCTGTCCCTCCCAAGTATACACTTCAAGAGTCACTTTTACCCTATTTCTTTTGTCTACAAACCTCTTCATTCAAAAACTTGACTTTAAGTGACCTGAAAAGTCATGGAATATCTTTCCTATCAATGGCAAGAAAGTTTTGAAAGGAAAAAGAACTGACTGACTGCTACCTATTCACATATAGAGAAACACCATAGAGCTTTTGTCTGTGATGAGAGAACTATCGCAAATACACTACATCCACTCTCTTTATCACTTGTTGGGCTCTAATAGTGCTCTTTCTTGATTTTTTCTAGGAAATTTTGCCTATCTCAGTCTGATCCTGAATTTTGAGTAGCACAAAGTTTTTCATGTGCTGATTGGCTTAATAGAATCACATTAGTAAAAGAATGTAAACAAGCTCTCATTGGTCATTTCACATGTCTGAATGCATTTTCTTAGCTTTATAAGAACCTGGGATTCACCATAAGCCATATGAGTCTGATGCAGATGGATACAGGACACTACCCCCCTATCACATCATTGGTTATCACTGGAAAGAATAAATAAGGATGAAGTTCTCAAGCCCCATTAGCTCAGCTCTTAGGACATAGAGGCCTAGCAAGTGTCTTGTGACTTTACTGGATCATACAATACTGCAGGTAAAACAATATTACAAGTAATAATAGGTCCCTAAAATATTTAGCATATAAAATTTTACAGATTACTTATATCCTTTTTTGAGAGACAAAATTCATAGCTTCTCTCTTTAATAGGGACAAAAGTCAGGAAATACTATAAATCAATAATTTGAATAATGGAAAACAATTGTGGGTAGTTTTTTTATAGTTATTGATTTAAAAATTTTAATGTTTTCTAGTAAGAGACATTTGACTTTTGTCCCAGTCTCTTCCTTTAGAGACTCATCTTTAGCTACAAGTGGATCGACCTACCCAACTGCATATACACCTCTCCACAACCCTTCCCCCACTAAGGAAAAATTCCTTCTATCTTGAAAGATATAAATTATTCAAACAATATCAAGAGGAGTTCCCTTCTACTATCCCTTTCACACCAAACTGACCAAGCAGATAAATAACCTAAAGAATTCATTCTTCCTAATTGGTAAGAATAGTTAACTCCTGTATGTAACTAGAATCTGACTGAAGATGAAGTTCACCAAAGTAAATAGAAGAGTTTTCTATAGCACTAAAGTAACCAAGATAAAGGTAAATGAGTAGGTATTATTGACACTTGATATTGAGAGATTTTATCAACTTGAGAAACCAACAAGCTGAGAATGTGTATTACTGAAAGTCATCATTAGATGTTGATAGATAATACTTTATCAGTACTATCTCTCTACGTGCATTCTGTCAAATTTTTTTTCTCCATATAAGCTGCAAAGTAATAAACCTCAAGACTTGCCCTCCTTATTTCGAAGCAAACCATTACTAAAGTTTTGGTAGAATACATATATTGCCCAAGTACACAATGCAATCACCACAACTTTCAAGTTTCAAGATAAAACAAATATATTTTTTTAGTATTTTTTATAGAGAGGTTTTTGAATATTATATTCACTGATAATATATCACTTAAAAATAATTTAACTCATAATTTTCCTCCTCTCACCATCCTTCACAAACCTCTCCTGCTAACAACACACATTAGTGGAACTTTGTATATACTAAGTTAGCTTGAGTAGTAAAACAATATGTTACAATGAATATTTTATCAATTGGTTTTATTGTTTTACTAAGTATAGAAATAGTTTATAAAATTGTTTTGTATACAAGAGTATATGTAATGCATATAATTAATAAAATGGATAAGGTTAAGTGTTTAAAAAAAATAAAAATAAAAATAATATAAAATCTATTACATTTAATATATATAATATAGTATTTATAGTAGTAAATATAAATAAAACTTAATTTATATTGCAGATAATAGGTAAAATAAAAGAGAACATAGTTAATATATTAGTCAAACTTTAAAAAACATATGACAAGCCTTTAAAATTTTGGGCCTCCCAACAATTGTTACAAAAAAAAAATTGAATTTAAAGAAAAAACTGTAGTAACATCAGAAATGTATACTATTATAGACAATATTATTACTAAGATACTGGATTTTAGTATAATATATCTTATATCTTTGGCAACTTGAAAAAGAAAATAAAGAAGACATTTTACAATCTTATATAAAAGATAGATTTTTAGAAATTATTAAAAATCCAGAAGGCTCATATAAACCTAAATATTAATTAATAGAAATTGTTAAGTAAATAGATATAGACTTAACAATAAATAATGAAACTATAATGATAAATATTAAAAAGCAGGAAGAAATAAAATCACAATGATTTCAAGAAAAGATCAAAAGTCATTATATTAATAAATGTAACTCATATATAACTAGAAATAAAAATTCAGTTTCTTTGATAAATCTATATTATATAAAGAAAAAGGAAACTTATAGACTAAAAACAATAATAGCTAATATTCTTGAAGAAATGGAGGAAGAAATCAAGGCATATCTAGGTAATACTCTAAAACTTCCATAAATAAAAAGAAAGCTCTTGAAAAAAGAATATATTAATAAAAAAAAGTAACTAATTTTTTGGATACAAAAGAAAGAAAATGTTTCAAATGTATAGAAAAGACAAACTGAAAAGACGATAACTTTACTATTCAAAATATAACTACTTAAATTATACATAATATGCAAAAAACTAGAAGAGATATAAACAAAAAAATCTTTTAAAAAATTTAAACTATGGAAAATACTAATATATAATACATTTTTCTAGTGGATAAAGACTAAAAAGTTAGTAAGTACTATATATCTAAATATCTAAAAATATATAGAGAAGTTCAAAATATCTATATCTATAAGGTGAAAACTAAGCTCAGGGTTAAGGTCTACATCAAATGATACAAATATCTTAGGCTCAATCCTAAAAAAAAATAGACAATCTCAATTGATATTGAAATATCAAGAGCTATTTTCTCAAGATTAAAATTAAGTGATATAAAAATCAATAAAATTTTGATTGAGAAAAACATCAATTCAGCAAGACTTCTGGATAAAAATAAAACATATACTAGTCTAATAACTAGAGTATTGAATGGTACAAAGCAAAAGTATGCTACATACTGTACTTAAAAATCTCTTTATACTTAGAAAATAGAACTTTATAATAGTCTACTTTACAGTATATTAAGAGAAAACAGAGATAATGCATACAAACAATACATTTTTTATAAGATCTACATCTTTTCTAGAGTACTAAATATATTATTGACTTAGAGAAGAAACTCTCTAATATTATAACAAGAAACTACTACCAGAGATATAGACACTAAAAAATAGAAGTAGATGAGAATTTGGTTTTCAACATATTATTAAACATAGAATCTATAAAATCCAGCATTGTCTCTATAAAAAATCAAAGTCTCAAAAATTGAAAGCAAGCTATATATTATCACAATAGTAAAACAAGACAAACAAACAATAGAATCTATAAATATTCTATATTTAGAAATAATAGAGAATTAATTAAAAACTAAAAATTTAATTGCCATAAATATCTAAAAGGTGAAACAGAATCTGAAGCAAAAGACTTACAGAATTCTCTTAAATGTATTCTAGTAAACCTAAAAAGATTAAATAATAGAATAGATACATTAGAGAAATAATCAATTCTTAATAAATGAAAACATAACAATATAGGAGCAAACTGTTCCTAAGGATATATCAGTTAGTTAAAATAATCAAAAAAAGCCAGAGCCCATTATCTCCTCAATAAATATTAAAAATAA